ATTGTAATGTTTCTCTTTTAATATATAAGGGATTGTTATTTTAGGTTTATTCATAAAATCACATTACAAGGATATGATATATCTAATGTTCGACATTACACAAGACGTTGTTATGTACATGGTTGGGTAAGGTGTACCGAAAAATCTGTTATTTGGATTTTTTTTTTAACACTGGGATTTTATTAGATTTGAAGTGATTTCATTAGAATGATTTGCAGGGGAAAGAGACTATCTTCGCTGGATTCGGACATGTTTCTGACGGAGTTTCCTTCACAAACAAACTGTGCTATACTCAAGCTGCTAGTATGGATAACGGCAGGGCATCCAGCTATAAAGTAAAATTAACTTTGGACATGACAGTCACCATTGTATCTCAGGAATCAACCTTTGTTTGAGATATGTAAGATCAGTGTGATTCAGTCACCAGTATGTTTTATATTTGTATCTCTTTCTTGTTGTAAATTGCAGGTCAGTTAATTGAAACTTATACGAAGATTAATCAAATATTGGTTTTAGGTTTTTATATAAAATTAGGAGTTGCATGTTACACTGATTACCCATGGCTAGTGGCAACGACATCAGTAAAGTTGCATAGGTCTTTGGTTTGGGAAACACCTATTCATTTTGGCCAATTTTTTTTTTTAGGTTTAATAAAACAGAAATGTTCTCCTGCACCATATGCAATGATAAAATTTTTAAAATTTAAATCATATTTACAATAAAATTTATTAATATTATATATTTTATTAATTATTTTGACTAATATTTAATATTAATTTTATTTAATTAAGCACAAAATTAAGAAAAAAATAATTTATTAATTTTAAATTCTATTTAATAATATGTATGTACTATATTTAAAATTTGATTTTTAGAATTTGTTTTATCTATTTATTTTGGTTAAATGTATTAAATCAACTTGTATAAAATTATAAAAAATTCATATAAAAATTTTATAGTTATTAAAAATTATAACTAGACAATATTTATAAAATTTGTGGATATCTAAAAGAAACTAATGATATTACGATTAAAAATTTATTAATTTTTTAAAAGATGTAGAAAATTTTGCAAATATTAGTAATAAAAATTTTATAATTATCAAATAAAATAAAATAACATTTCAAAATTGATAATGAATATTTTAATATATTTATTTTTAATGATGATTTGATTTATGAGTTATTACCATATTTTAAGAAGTTCGGCAAAAATATAACTCAACATTAAATGTAATGTACCAGTTATTGTCATATTTTATAAAGTTTACAAAAAATATATACCAGCAATAAACGTAATTATCCATGTCATATTTAACTATAAGCCATGTCATAAATTTTAGTAGTAATGTTATCAATCTTTTTGTAATAAAGAGGATATGTGGCAAATCACTTCACAAATAATATATAGGGGATTGTTTTTACTTACCAAATCTTGTGGTTTTGATCTAAAATCATAGGTATAGAACTTAACATGCGATTTCGAATTTGAAATTTACAAAAAAAATGGACCTTAAAATTCTTACCGAGTAATTGAAAGTTGAGGTTCAAAAGCACCATAACCACCGGATGCTTCATGATATTCCAGCGACAGAGTAGCCGCCTAGAGAGAGTTTTGAACATAGGACGCTATATCCAAGATATTTTGGTCACTTCTGTGTTACACATCATGATGTCTATGACGATCCGTCAATGTTACAAACGAAAGTTCATGCTGCACATGCCATCACTGCTAATACGACTGCTAACCAAGCGAGCTTGACTTATAAAGAAAACCAAGCTGTTCATGAGCAAGAGTTTACATCTACAACAGTTCGTTTGACATACTAGGTGCAGACAATCCTGCATTAGCATCTGCTTTGGTGTTAGACTGCATAATAGACTAGCCAACCGCAATTTTCTTTCGAGGGTTGAGTAGCATAAAAATTAGATACTGAGTTATTTGTGATATTTAGTTTATTAATGATAACTAGGTGTTTTCTTGCACATGTGTAAACAATTTAAAATATATCATTAACAGATAAATATAAATTTTATTTAAAATAAATTTTATTAATATTAGATTTTTATCAATATTTTAATATAAATATGATTTGATTAAACATACAAATTAAGATAAAAATAATTTTTTTATTTTAAATTATATTTAAAAATATGCATGTATATATTTAAAATTACAATCTTAGATAGATTTTTCTATCTACTTATTTCAATTTAATAAATTTGTAAAAAAATTCATAATTATCAAAAACTAAAATTAAACAATATTTATAAAATTTGTAGATTTATAAGAATTGTATACATTTTTGAAAATTTTAGTAATATAATTGTATAATTTATAAATATATAATTAAATGATATTTTGAAATGTGTAATGCCATATTTTGAATATATTTATTTTAACGATGATTTATGAGTTAGTACCATATTCTAAAAAAATGTCAAAAATATAAATCAACACTAAATGTAATATATGAGTTATTACCATATTTGTGATGTAATATTTGAATATATATATATATATATATATATATAACGAGAATTTATGAATTATTACCATATTTTAAAAAAAAAATCCAAAAATATAAATCGACACTAAATGTAATATATGAGTTATTACCATAAAAAGTTTATCAAAAATATAAATTAATGTTAAATGTAAGGGATATATGTAGTATTCTTAAAATATTGCTCTATGAGTTAAATTGTTAAAAATACAACTCTTAATAACATTAACTTTAATAGATTTATGGAATCATTAGAATGAAAACTTTTTGAATAACAAAAGATTTTTTAGAGAGTTATAGAATCATCACCCAAATAACACTTGATTTTATACAGAATTTAAGAATCTATAAACTAATAACGCTAAACTTTTTAAATAATCCTTATAATTGTAACTCCCACTAACACCCCTTAATTCTGTTTGGAAAAAAACTATTTACATTATTTGTGTTAATATATAATCGATGTAAGTTTTATTTTAATAAGCCTAAAGTATTTGTAATAATCACTATTCGAAAACGTAAATAACATGAAAATAGTAGTATTGTATTGATGACCGTGGGGTCTAGAAGCTTAATTTTAAGTGTAGACGATTGATTTAAAGCTGTAAGAGAAAGACGAACATAACTTGTGTTCTAGGCTTAAGCGTGGAGGATTTTAAATTAAGGTTACAGCGACTCGAATAACGTCGGAGAGAGAGGATAAAAGAGCAATAAAGCAATGGCCATAGTAAAGAAACTAGCTACCTAACGAAGAAGTACTCAGTGATCCCCATCTGAGGAAATAGACAAATAGAATCATAAATGAAGATTCATCCTTCTTTTCCTTATAATGCATGTACTTTCCAAAAAAAAAAAGAAGCTATCCTATTCGTGTCTCGACAATCTTAACTGGCACCGTACTCAATATATGACCTTCCGTACCTCTCTCATCAATCAAACAATTTTAAATAATAATAATAATAATATAGAGTTAAAAGAAAATTTTGGTGGGTAGAAAAAAGAATCAACATTTAATGGATACCGGTTAAGCCAGAGAGAAAGTAGGGTCGTGCTTATTTACTAAATGTGTTAGAAAATATATAAATGTGGAACAAAATCAAGTGGTACAGATATAAAGGGACGTACGGAGAAGTTTCATCAAGGATTGAAGAGTGTGTTGGATGGTGTAGAGGCAAATGCACGTGTGGATTGTGACATGACGGAATCAAATCCTTTGTCTTTTGATATCTCAAGGATTGAGAAATTTCCTAGAAGGGTGAAAAGATTATGAAATAGAGTCTGGAGATTTGGGTGGTGGTTGTTGTGTGACTTCAACAGGAGATTTGCATGTTCAGTATTTATTAAATTTTGTCGTCGATACTGTAAATTTTCGACCAGTAAGTTGTAGTCTAGAAGCTAGTGGAACTGCAAAACATGATGTCTATAATCAAATAAAGGCTGGTTAATGTTTATAAAGTTTGGTTAACTGCCTAATTATGGAGGTCTATAAATGAAACATTGAATACATTGGGATACAATTTTCATGTGGTTTGAAGCTGTAAATTTACCGAGCGGTAGGCTAGAAGCTAGTGGAACTGCAAAATGCAATGTCTATAATCAAATCATGGCTTGTTAATCTAGGAGCTGAAATCACAGATTGGTTTACTGCCAAGCATGTTGGTCTATAAAGTGAAAAAATAAAAAAAATGTAAATTCGTTTAACACAAATGGGGTCGTAGAAGACTTGTGGGTTATCCATAATGACAAAACTTGAAGAGAAGGATCAATGTAATCCCTAGATACCTGGAGAAAGAACAAGCTCTACTATGCCATATGCAGGGGTGGTTCTGGGCTCAGCCAAATGAAAATAATAATGAATTGGAAATGCTCTTATAGCCTTTTTCGAGGCAAACTGTTTTAATCTTCATATAACTACCACTCTTTCAGATTGGCTTTCTTAATTTGTTAATTTATTTAGAACAGTGTTAACATTTCACACCTCCAATCCCAACGATGATTCAGCATCCAATACCTTGCTCCCAACATTTTGCTTTCTGGTCGGGATCCTGAAACTCTGAGTGGAAAGTAAGCTGGTCCTTGTTTGGTCACAAGAATAATCATTCTTATTAGGTCATAAGGATACTCAGTCTTATTGGCTGGGAATGGAGATTTACCAGTTGAGATCGAGGCATCATGCTTCTAATTTAGTTAAGAAATTGACCCTAAAGCAAAAAAGCTCTTAGGCAATGGAAGGGATATTAAAGCTGAACGATCAACAGTTTGTGAAGTCATATGCACCAAGTACCAGTGACATTTCTCTTTAGAGTTTCGAGATTTTATGCAGGCAAATCAAAGTACCAGCCACTAAGGGTGACAGGACCCGAGTGAATGTCAATAGAAACATCTTTCCAGGAAAATGAGTGAAACAGCGACATACACTTGTTGAACATAGCAATTTGTGATACCTGATCATCTACAAGCGGGATGTAACAATTGCTCGCATACAAACATGCTTTCAGATCATTTGAGCAGATACTCCCTCAAAGGAACTTAAAGAGCTGATAACCGATTCATATACTTCTATTCCTTTCAAGAATACGGTATCTTTAAGAAACTGTAACAGAAAAAGTGTTTATATCAATCAGTGTTGTGATTCTTAATATTTAACTCAACGATATGTCAAGAGTATCATCGCTCCAATACCTCGTTATGGTCATGCAATAGGATAGGAGTATTGATCATGGGTGAGAAACCCAGAAGTGGAATTCCCAAAGTGCGAATATAGCGCGCATCTGTGGTTGAAGCCAAAATTTCAGGCTTTGCGAGTTTTCCACCAGTTGCTTCAACAGCTTGCTTGAAGACAGCCCACCAAGGATTCGAACCATTAGTTGCAGTCATTATCGGTCGTCCTAAATGGTCCCTTAACTTCCCCTTCTCTTTTATCTGGTACAACAAAGGTGAAGTTAGTTTTGTCCACTTCGTTTCCTCTGATAACAGTTGATCAAAATTGCAAAAGGTAGACACTATACAGTAGCATCTATCTCCCTGGCGTAAACAAAAGCCTAAAAAATTTGTATCATCATCATCAAAAATGAGAGCACACATTTTGCCAAACTTTGTAGCTGAAGATTTACTTAAGATAAAGGTAAAGTTAGTTTTGTCCACTTTATTTCCTCTGATAACATTTGATCAAAATTGCAAAAAGGTATGCAATACACGGCAGAGTCAACATTTGTAACTGAAACAGATTTAGCCAAACTTTGTAGTTGCAGTTTTACTTTGCTTAGGAAATCTCAAATCCTTGTATAAAATCGAGGTTTGATAAAACGTTCTTAACCAACCAGAGAGATAGTTATTAAAGGTATCATGGGGATCTAATATCCTCATTTCCACAAAACTAATGTGGAAACTCTAAAAGAAAGAAGCCAAACCAACAATTCAGAGTTAGTCAATAGCCTACTGGAGTCTCTGTTTCACCTAAGCTTTGCTTAGGAAATCTGGGATCCTTGTTTTGTTGTATCAAAGCAACTAAAATAGAGGTTTGGTAATAACAAGACATTCTTGATCAACAAAAGAGATAACTATTTAAGGTATTATGGGTGATTCACAAATTTAATGTGGAAGCTACATAAGAAAGAAGCTAAATAATCTTTAACCAGCCATTCATAGGTACTGAAAAGCCGAATGAAGTGGCAATTGCATCTCTAACATATGTTGTACCAACGATGAAAACAAAAACAAAGAAATTTGATAAACTGAAAAAAGGAAACGGTGTTACACAAGAGCGAAAAGCTTGTGAAATAGCAACATAAACTAAGGGTTAAGGGGGGGGGGAATATACCGTGTAGGTCATGTTCCTAATAGAAGGAGCCCATTCCTGAGCAATCCTTTTCTTCATAAGATCAGGATCAGCCATTGGAGGCAGCCTTAGATCATATCCAGCTTCTGCCTCTGAAGGCTGCATATTCATCACAAATCCCTGAAAACATACACACAGAAGCTGCCTCTAAGAAAACAAAACAAAACAAAAGAGGAATCCAAGATAATAAAAAAAAGCCTTACAGTGTTGGAAGGAGTTCGAGCTTTGAGATAAACTGGATTGACAGAGATAACCTCGGAGTTGGCAGCTTTGCCAGCTTTGACGAAATCAAACTGAGAGTCCCTAAACTTGGAGATGAGCTCAACACTCTTCATGAGATTTTCCATAGCTCCATTGTCATAAAGCTTAGCACCATGCCCAGGGATGCCATGAGCTCTAATCACCAGCTCCCAGGGAGTCCGATCAGCGAAGAAAACCCTAAAGTCATCTCCCGGATTGGCCTGCCCTTCGTCCATGGCGAATCCAACATTCAGCTCGCGGAAATCGGAGGAGGCGGCGAACTTGGCCATCCCGTCGAAACCTCCGATCTCTTCGTCGGGAACGTAAGAGATGTGGAGAGTGCGGAGAGGAAGGAAGGCTCTGGATTTCAAGTTCCTGATAGACTCGAGATACTGAACTCCGATGCACTTATCATCCTGGGAGCCGCGAGCGTAGATAAGACCAGCGTCGGAGGTTCGGTGAGCTGAGAAGGGTGGATGGATCCATTTATCTGCTTCGGCGGGAACGGAGTCGAGATGGGAGTTTAAGAGAATGAAAGGGAGTTTGGGGTTGGAGCCGAGCCATGTCACCAGGAGAACTGGCTTTCCTCTTACGTATTCTATGGTTCGAGTTGTTAGACCCATTGACTCAGCTTGCTCTACCAGGAAACTGATGGGTGCGCTGTAGTTCGGGTTTGGATGAGCCGTTTTGAATCTTAGGTATTGCTGGAACCTACTGATTGGAGTGTCGTCTCCTTTCCCCCCGTGCGATTGGATCAACAACATAACTGACAACACCAAGAGAAATTGAGTCGCCATGACTATGGATTTGGACATGGATCCAGTTCAAGGTGATTACAAAAGTGAGGAAGATGACGACAATGATCTCTGCCCTTGCCCTTTTCTCAATACCATTTTTTTTAATTTTTTTTTTACTCAACAACTACTCTTCATTCACCAAATTCAAAATCTTACAAAATGGTCATTGATCTCCATACTAGAAACTAACCACATAGGCAAGATAGAATACAACTTAGGTACAAAGGACGTAAACGTAGTAGTCTCCTTCGCTATTCTATCTGCAACTTTGTTACCACTTCTATGGTAATAAACCACTTCCACCTCTTCTATCCGCCGCAATGAGGTCCAAATTCCTTGGATTATAGGTTTCAACTTTGGCCAGACCTCTTCTTCTCCATGTAGCATCTTGATGAGGACTAAAGAATCAGTCTCAAAAGTGACCTTATAGTACCCAAATCCAGCAACTGTGTGACTGGCCCAAAGCAGTGCCTCAGCCTCTGCTTCAATAGCCGACCCCATTACCGGTAATTTCCTCGCACCTGTCCATAACAGATGGCCACTATGATCTCGCAACACCCAGCCCGCTCCCCCACTGCCACTCTCCTGCTGCCAAGAACCATCAGTATTGCACTTTAGCCTTGAAGGAATGGGAGGGGTCCATCTTCTAGCTTGTTCATCTGTTATGGGTGGTTTAGCCTCCATCGTTTTCACCTTTTCTTTATTTTTCCATTCTCTTGCATCCTCCCTTGCCTTCTGAACTGTTGCTGTGGTGTGGAACTCTTTATTCCTAAAGATAAGTTCATTCCGATTCTTCCATATACGCCACAGCAACCATGGAACCAATTCCTCCTCTATAACCTCCTTTGGATACTCTTTTTCAGATTTAAGACCCAAAAGAGGTTAGTAAAGAAAGAATCACTCCAAATTCCTGCTGGCGGGATGTGAATGTTAGCCTCTGCCCATAGGCGGCGCGCATAAGGACATCGAAAGAGGAGATGATTGACACACTCCGAATCAGCACCGCATCTACTACAGCTTCTATCTTTTGCAATGTGCCGATGAGCCATGTTCTCAGCCACGGGGAGCGCATTACTTAAGCAGCGCCACAGAAAATGTTTCACCTTGGGACTGGTTTCGAGGCTCCACACTTGTTGGTATAATAAATTTAAGCTGGGTTGATCAACTGCAGCATTGTCTGGCTCCACTGACACCTCATTTATCTGCACCCAATACGCTGACTTCACTGTGTAGTGCCCAGATTTTGTGTACTCCCAAGCATAGATGTCATCACCGTTTTTACCTCCTGGTCTTATGGCCTTAATATTTGCCTGGTCCTCCTCGCTAAACAGCCTCTCCAGCAACCCCTGATTTCACTCCCGACCACCCCCACAAATCAAGTCACTAACTCTCATTTCTTCAGATACAACTGGTGGTGTAACTCCATCTTGGCGCCTCATCGACAGTATCATCGTCACTGGTTTGTGTTGGGGTCAAAATCGGTACGACGGAATCAATAGCCAAAATTCCCCGCAGAAATACAAAAGGAATAGTTTTATAAAACCTAAGAAGTCGTTTTATAAAACTCGAGAAGCCGTTTTATAAAACTCGATGATCGTTTTATAAAACTCGAGAAACCGTTTTATAAAACTCAAAGATCGTTTTATAAAACTCGAGAAGCCGTTTTATAAAACTCGAGAAGCCATTTTATAAAACTCGAAGATCATTTTATAAAACTCGAGAAGCCGTTTTATAAAACTCGAAGATCGTTTTATAAAACTCGAAGATCGTTTTATAAAACTCGATAAGTCGTTTATAAAACTCAAAGATCGTTTTATAAAACTCAAAGATCGTTTTATAAAACTCGAGAATTATAAAACTCAAAGATCGTTTTATAAAACTCGAAGATCGTTTTATAAAACTCGAGAAGTCGTTTTATAAAACTCGAAGATCGTTTTATAAAACTCGAAGATCGTTTTATAAAACTCGAGAATTCATTTTACAAAACTCGAAGATCATTTTATAAAACTCGAGAAGTCGTTTTATAAAATTCAAAGATCGTTTTATAAAACTCGAGAATCGTTTTATAAAACTCGAAGATCGTTTTATAAAACTCGAAGATCGTTTTATTAAACTCGAAGATCGTTTTATAAAACTCGAGAATCGTTTTATAAAACTCGGGAATCGTTTTATAAAACTCGAGAAATCGTTTTACAAAACCGCGAAAAACCGAAACCGCCGCAAAACGCGAACTAAGCCAAGCTGGCTTAGTTCGCCAGCAGGCGAATTAGGCACTCCCCGACAAGTTCGCCTGCTGGCGAACTAAATATTTCCTGGATCTCCCGCATCCCCGATTCGAAACTTACGTCCTTCGTCACGGTCACATTCTGAACCACAGCCGAAATGTCTCTCGTTTCGTCTCGATCCGACTTATCGTTCAAATTCTACGATAAAAACCGTAAAACTCCGCTTTCTCGAAAAGAACTCAAAGAAATCGTATAAAACGGTAGCGATTAAGCAAGACACCGAACATCGCCTAAACTATTCGATTTATCCGAGATTTTTCGTTAAGATCATAAAAAACGCGTTTTTAATAAAAAACATCGAGAAAATCATAAAAACGGCATCGGATCAGGAAACGGTCTCGTATAAAGTCGTAAAACGGTTTTTATCGTAAAACGGCCTGAAAGGTCCTAAAACACGATAAAAACCCATCTCGCGATATTAACGAAATCATACCCGAAGATACGATAACGTTTTGGTGGTTTACTCGCAGACAGAAGACAAAAGGCAAGTTTGAAGAAAAATAGAAGATTTCCGCGGAAGAAAAGGAAGGATCGACAGAAATGGAAAATTCCCGATATATTCGGTTTCGGGCGAAATGGAAAGATTAAAATCGCCTAAGAAGGAGTATATAAGCAGGAGGCATAGGGCAGAAGCTGGGACAGGATTTTCAGAGCTCTGACCACCAAATTAGCATTTAGGAATATTTCCGTTTTCTGTTAGCGAGCTGCGTCTCAATTAGGGTTTTTCGTTCTTAGACTTTTCGGCTACTCTTTTTGTACCAGTTCTTACTCAGATTCGGAATAAGAACCTCTTTGCTCTCAATTTGGTTTATTCTCTTTTAAATTCTAATTTTATCCTTTTCTTAATCTTCGTTGTGCGGTTCTGCAGATAGCCGGTTCCTCTGGAAACTTAGGGTTTTCCCGAAGTTTCTTTTTTTACTATTTATTGACAGTAGGTGGATTTCGGTTCCCATAGTTTGCTACCAACCCACCTATCCTTCCAAACATGTGTACCTTTACCATCTCCTATGATCTTTCTCGCTCCTTGCTTCACAAGCTTTTGGGCTGCATATATACTTCGCCATGCATAGGAGGGTCTTGATCCTAGGGAGGCACTTATGGGGTCTGAATTTTGGAAGTACCTACTTTTGAAGACCCGCGCCATTAAGGAGTCGCTGTCAGAAAGCATGCTAGACTGTACCGCTGGAGAATGGAGATCATATGATTCAGCTCATCATCCGAGCCCTTGCAGTACAGCATACTGGCGTCGGCGAAGAGTAAGTGTGAAATAGGGGGGGGCTCTTCGCGCCACTCTCAACCCCGAGATACCCATTTTACGTTCAGCCGCTTTTAGCATTTGGACAAGGATTTCCGTACAGATTACAAAGAGGTATGGGGAGAGCGGGTCTCCTTGTCTCAACCCTCTAGTGGGCGTGATGCGCCCATGCGGTTCCCCATTGATGAGGACTTGATATCTAACTGATGAGACTGAGCTCATAATGAGGGCCCTCCAAGCATCTGAAAAACCTAAGGATTGCATCGCCTTGTCCAAGAACGACCATTCAACGCGATCATAAGCTTTCGAAATGTTGGTCTTGATAGCGATAAACTCCTCCGAACACTTGTTGTCTGAGGTGAGGGAATGCAATAGCTCATGAGCTATAAGAATGTTGTCAGATATGAGCCTTCCTTCAACAAATGCGGCCTGGGTTTCTGAGATGATCGAAGGTAGAACCCTTTTCAGCCGCTTTGCCAGAAGCTTCGACACTATCTTGTAAGGAACATTGCATAGACTTATGGGTCTGTACTCACACATCCTTCTGGCAGTAAGCGACTTTGGGATGAGACAGATGTTGGTATTGTTGATCCCTTCTTCCAGCTCTCCTGTCTCAAAGAACCTCCTCACCATCGCTGTAACATCATCCCCACTTGTCTCCCAGAATTGCTGAAAAGGTAACCACTCATACCATCCGGTCCTGGGCATTTAGTGGGGTTGATATCAAACACCGCCTTCTTGGTCACCGGTTCCTCAATAAGTCGTTCTGAGCTGAAGTCAGACACTTTGGGATCTCTCCCCATTCCTCCAGCTCCACACCTACATCCTCTGATGAGAATAGCTTTTTGAAGTAGCATTCGGCCACAAGGCCCAAATCCCTATCGGTGAACCAAACCTGATCATCGTCATCCACCAGACACTTAATCCGACACTGGGTTCTTTTATTTTTGGTCACCGCATGGAAGAATTTTGTGTTTTTATCGCCTGATCTCAGCCACTGCAATCTACTTTTTTCCCACCAGAATATCTCCTCATTATAGTATTCATCATCTAACTCCTTTCTCAACAGGCGCAGCTCTTCAGTCTTGAAGTTCTCTTGTCTTGATGCCTCGTCGAGCCTATGATGGAGTTCCTGAATTCTAATAGAGGAGTTTGGTTTCGCCTGGCGTTTCCACATAGAGATAGCTTTTTCTGCAGTCCGCAATTTTACCCACCAAACTCGTCTGCCCGTTGCCATGATGGCGTCAACTCCTATCAACTGTATCAATGAACCCTTCTCTTCTTACACACCGATGATCATATCTGAAACATAATTTACTTCTCATCTGATTGCCGTCAAAAGCTGTAAGAAGCGGGCTATGATTTGAACAAGTTCTCGGTAGATAGAAAACTATCGCCTGAGGAAAAATATTTAGCCACTCCTGATTTGCAATAGTTCTGTCCAAGCGGCATTGGACTAG